AAAATAAATTCGAAAAGAATTCAACAACAAAAAGATCAATGATACCAACCAAATCTTGGCGTCGAAAATGCAACAGAAGACGAAAAAAGTTTGATGTGAGGTCGATTGACATCCCAGCAATCAAATTTGTGAACGGACCGATGAAATCGATACTTTTCTGAGGGAATCGGTCAAGATTATCAGCTATATCTGAAGTAATATGAAACAAAAAATCCGAATGAAACAACGCCGAACTACTAATGAGAAAATGCGAACGTTATCCACAATTCTATTCACTACATCTTCTTTGATCATGTATTTGTGGACAAACTTTAACTAAAATGTAACAGAACTAAAACAATCGCACTCATTTGAGTAAAAAGTTCTTCACCGTACATTAATACAACCCGAAACTAGCCCCTAACCGGTAACTGAACAAAATTTACGCATGAATTCAAAGAAATCACACTTTGAATGAGGCACCTTCTACTAAACAAAGCGCAATACAACAACATAAGCGAAGATAACAACTAAGAATACCGAAGATTTGCACTGTACAAAAGAATTTGTGCACAATCGGTTGAAGGTTACTCAAATCGCGATAACAGCAACAATCCAATGTGACTGCGAAAGGACACCATTTGCTGGCTGATTCCACCTTTCCAGACAATTCGAAGAAATAAGAGGAATTTCCTCATAGAAATACAGACAGAATCAGAAACTGGTATAGTTTGATCAAAAAAAAAGAGATATACAAGAAACTCAGTCAGATGAATACCTCATGACGAAACCATAAAGCAAAACAAAGTGCAATATACTAGATAAGGTCGACTGGAGAAAATTCTTCAGAAACACTGAAGGATATCCACGGTGAACGACTCATTGCTCAACAAAGATTAATGGTGCATTCACATTGGCACTCGCAAATCGCAAATCGGAAAGATCACGCTGATAATTTGCGCGATTCGAACGAATAAACGACCCAATAATGCCCTCTTACATATAAGATATTGCTAGAGATAATAATGATTTACAATCTTTTCACCTCTCTTCATCACAGATGATGAAAATTGCCAGTGAAACGAATGAGGAGGATGAAAATGACACTGAACTCTGATCAGCTATTGTCATCTATCTCGAGTCATCACAATCTTCTCATACGCATCTATTTACTGTCTGATTCTAAAAATTCTCATTCTAATCCAAAAAAAAATGCAACAATACAAAAAGTACTGTTTGAGTGCGAAATGTAAACTTGGAATAATAGCAAACAAAATNAAAAAATGCAACAATACAAAAAGTACTGTTTGAGTGCGAAATGTAAACTTGGAATAATAGCAAACAAAATACTGATAGTATATAATGTTGAGATAAGATGTCAAATGGAAATATTTGGGAATACAAAGCGAAGACAGAGTACATAGTCCACTCTTTCATATAAACATTCTTGCGTACGTACATGATATGGTGAAGATATGATAATAAGTGCAATAGAATGAACGATCGTCAAGGTCATATCGAACACGAAAAATTATTTGAACACTGCTGTCACCATCTCATTCCATGGTTCAGCACCAACCCAACGAGACGTTTCAATGACCGTTATGTTGCTCTTGGGCCGTCGGCAGACGCAGAATCAACGATCTGGTCAGTGCGGCTGCACGTGCTGCTGCGTATGCCTGCAGTTTTCAAGATCTTATCTTTCATATATCAAAGACTGTCTTGAATCCCACGCATATACTAACATGAATTTTCTTATCATATCATTCTTATCATATTTTTTNTTTTTTATCATATTATTCAAGATGCTCACTTTATAGGACCAATATTACATCAATGTATCACTCTCCCCAAATTGTCTACTCATTTTTTGAAATGAATCGAACAAATTCGCTTCCACAAACACAACTGAACACAACGAACAACCACCTAATCTCCGGCTTAATTAATACAACCAACCATGACACTAAATCAAATGATCAAAACTTAAAAAGAGATAGGCACAAACAAACCTGCCAAGTACGTGCTGCTCTACTTTGGCCGTGTTGATAGTCGGCTATACCGCGAATCAACGTCCAACTATCGATACACGATCCGTTCACGGCCGCAATCACCGAGTCGAACCCCGCATCGAATGCACGCAAACCGAACTCGGCTGCGAAGCGATCTCGAATTTGACTGGCTGCATCTCGAGTATCTTCATTCTGCAACCAACAGAACACTCATTGATCCAACTCTGAAGCATGCGATAACCAATCGTATAATTGCTAATCACCACCTACCTCGTCAGTGCTAACTTGTTTCTTATGCGATACCATTGCACCAACTGAACCCAAATGTATCACTGAATCGGTGCGTTCATGATTTGGATGTGGAATCACGACCACATTTCCGCCTCCTTGAATGGAAAATTTGCAGTTAAAACTTTTGTTAACGTATCATATGAATCAGATGAAAACCAATCAGTCTACAACAAATCATTCCAATTCNGCTTCATTCAACTGTTTGATTGTTTTTTCTGTTAGCTCATTCCACTCATCGAGCATTTCATCCTTCCTGTTCAAAAAAAACTGCCAACTAGTTTCTTCTGCACATTCAAAACAAGTTGCTTGTGGAGGAACCGCAATTGTTTGTTCAAATATTTCACATCTGATTAATTTTATATGCCAAAAGTAAAAGTCTTCAAAATGTCAATTTCAAAAAATGAATCAATCGACCACAAATCAAGCAAACAAACAAACAAACGAATAAATGAATAAGCGCATCACTCACATTTCCATCGCGATTTTCGCGATACAACTGTCTTGCGGATTCCAACGTCTCACCACAAAACCGTTGATATTTTCAGTTTTTCGATCCAACGTATACGAATGAGCAAACACATACGCGTTTGGTGTAGACGCACTGATGACCACATCACCCAAACGAATATGTCGAGCTGCGTCCGTGTAATGCGCTACACCTCCTCCAACACCAACTATGAAAACGTGCTCAACATTTTGGAAATTGCCCAGTAAACGTGTCGTGATTGAACCGGCAGATGTGGTCGCCTCACGGGTATCACCTGAAAGTAATCACCTGAGGTGTCTAGATCATATCATCATTGCAATAGTAGTTGCGCAACTCTTGAGGCTGCCGTAACGATTCTAAGAGTACTGCGATACCGAAACAAGCATTCTAATGGCCAGAAATTTACAAAAATTTTACAAAAAACAAACAGTTTCATTCAAATACATCAATGAATAATTGAACAGATTTAANGGTAAATATACGTGGATGAATGAAAGCTAAAACGAAATGAATAGAGTCATTGACTGTGAATAAACCAAAAATGCGTACCAATAACGGCGAGTTTAGTTGCAACCACACGATGTTTTCCGATCCATCCAAGCGTGTACACATTCGAATCTCCACCTGAACGATAGCGATGTACCGTTGAGCTGTTATCAATAATCGAGTCGATGCACTGTTTCTCAACGAATAAACACGTAATAATTGCGATTGTTGGTGAATTCGTGTCACGCATCAATGCACCGTTTGATGTTTGCTGCTTCAATTCATCCACTGCAAATCGACTGTTTTCATTCGGATCATTACTATAATTATGGTAGACATTACTGCTACTACCATTACCATTACTATTAACTCTGTCAAAGTAACGCATGTTTTTATCAATTCAATAACATTTCAATTATTCTCGTTATTATGCCAATTACTAATTGAAATCGTATAATACTAATCGAATTTCTCTTGTTGGAGTGCAGTTGAAAATATTATAAACATTTTATCGTGGTCATTTATACATTTGAATTTCTACCACACAACACTCATTATAGAGGTTATGTTTTTTGTTTTAAATTGAACATAGCCATTTAAAATGCACTAAATTTGAAATTTTAATATGAAACAAAAATTACTTTTGATAGAATCCACTCTAATCCATTCATCTTGCAGCTTCTGCACCACACCGAGAGTTTCGAGCTCATGCAAAAATTGTTCCACCTCTTCAGTTGTGCAACGTAACGCTCTATAAACTTGCATTCATTCAT